GCAGTGTGGAGGCCTCTGCAGGCACGGGGGCCACATTGACCACTGTGGCTCTGATGCCTAGCATTAATAGATAGTACCGTGTGCTGGCCAGAGGAGCTGCCATATTGCCATATAGTTCTTTTCAGCTTGGGGTCTTTGATTGTTAGATTGTAACACTGCAGTCATTTATCAAGCCCATGATGTCATACATATGAAGCCTAGAATGTTGTACATACTCTCTGATTTAGATTCACTGGTAGGTGAACAAAATAATTATTTTGAGACTGCTCCTTTTATTTAACTTTTTTTTTTTTAGATTTTTTTTCTTTTTGAAAGGTAGAGTTAGATTGTTTGTTCACTCCCCAAATGGCTGCAACTGCCAGGGCTGGGCCAGGCCAAAGCCAGGAGTCAGGAACTTCATCCCGGTCTCCCACGTGGGTACAGGGGCCCAAGTACATGGGCCATCCTCCACTGCTTTCCCAGGTGCATCAGCAGGGAGCTGGATCGGAAGTGAAGCAGCAGGGGCTGGCGCTGTGGCACATCGGGATACTGGTGTTGCAACTGGTGGCTTAAACTGTTAAGTCACAATGCCGGCCCTCTTTTACTGTATTTTTTTTATTTTATTTATTAATTTGAGAGGCAGAGTTAGAGAGGGAGAGATAAAGAGAGAGGCCTTCCATCTGCTGGATCACTCCCCAAATGTCTGCAACGGCTGGACCGATCAGGAGCCAGGAGCTTCTAGGTCTCTCACGTGTGTGCAGGTGCCTGAGCATGTGGACCATCTTCCATCGCTTTAAACAGAGAGCTGGGTCAGAAATGGAGCAGCCCGGACAGGAACTGGCGCCCATATGGGATGCTGGTGCCACAGGTGGAGGCTTAGCTCTTATGCCACAGTGCCGGCCCCCACTTCTGACACGAATGGGACATTCTGCACTCTCAGCCCTTCTTAGCCTGAGTTGTCTTTGTGAATTTTGCTTGGCTTGGTTGTGCAGTGGCGTCCGGCAGTTCCTCTTTAAGGGGAGAAGCGTATGTGGGAGCCCTTGCAGGATTAATACTCTTACCTTGACTACTCTGTATACAGGTGACAGTTCCCTTCTGTGAAGGAGTAGATAACTGACAACAGAGGTTAAAAGGTTTGTTTGCCAGTCTGGTCACAGATAAGAAGTTAAGTCTTTAAATACTTCATTGATTACAGCTTTGAAAAGAACATAATGTCAGTTATGTTTTGAGTTTCATTTTGCATTATTGCCAGTCCCCCAGGCATTGGAGGAGGGAAAATATTTTATCACTTGTTTGCCTCTGTTGGGAAAAACCTCAGGATATTTGCCATGTAAAATCAGAGATAAAATAATATTCCTGTGATGGTGGCTAAGTAACATCCTCGCCATTGTGAAGAGAAGCTTCAAGTTGAAGCTGGGGTGTGGGCTCAGTTTTGTTGATGTCCCTTGGAGTTTCTGTGGCACTGCAAAGCCAAGAGTTTCCTGTAAATACAGTAACTGTTTCCCCTGTAACTCATGAACCTGCTGCTGCTTGTGAATCCATGGAGCTTAGCCTTGTGGGTCAGGCAGCCTGAAAAACACTTAGCAGAACCTATCTTGGGATCATGGTTTCAATGGCAACATCCTTGCCAGGTTTGTCTTGTTTGGGGGGAAAAAAAAAGGAATAGTTGTGTAAGAACCATTTTCCTCCTCTAAAAGCCTTCTTGAGTTAGTGCAGGCCTTAGTTGGACATCAAATTGATTATCTGTGGTGTTCATAACAGAATATACTGTACTTACCATGGGCGATCTTGAGTATTCATTTATCATTTGTTCATCCACCCATTTACCACACATGTGTGAAGCCTCTGTTGAATTTGGGGCCAAGCGTTGCACAACGCCAGGGATGTTGTTCTCTTGAAGTTGATCTGGTAGCGCACACAGGATGTGAAGGGGATTGGTAAAGCCCAGGCACCCACGCCAGGCTGTTTTTTCAGCAGTAGAGTGTGCAAAGTCAAATAAGATGTGATCTCTTCTCTGGGGGAACTCTTAGGTGAAGGGAGCAGGCATGTGACAGTAAGGGTAGCTTGAGTTACAGGGGTCACACTGGAAACCTATGCAGATTACAGTGGGCATGAGGAGACAGCAGCTTAACTCTCTTGGCCAAAACCTTGAGAGGGAAGTACTAGGTCAGGAGAGACTTCATAGTGGTGCTTGCTGTCTTGGAAAGTGAACAGGTAGCACAGATGTTGTGGCACAGCGGCACTGTGAGTACCTATAGCTCCCTACTAATGCACATGGGGAAAGCAACAGGAAATGGCTCAGGTACTGGGCCCTTGCCACCCACGTGGGAGACCCAGGTGGAGTTCTTAGCTCCAGGCTTCAGCCTGGCCCAGCCTTGACCAGCACGACCATTTTGGGGTGAACCGGTGGATGGAAGATCTCTCTCTGATTCTCTCTTTCAAAGAGAACGGTGAGTGAAGGTGGGAGCTGGGCAAGATGAGCTCCGCTGGAACAACTGGCTGACAGATCAAGGTGAGGGGCTGTTCTGGGAGACAGCAGCAGAGTCAGGCTGAATTCAGGAAACTCAAGGCCTTACTGGCTTTGTAAGAAGTGTGGGCTTTATTCTGTAGATAGCAGAGAGGCGCTGGAGAGCCCCGTTAGATGTGGGCTGGGAATAGATGTGTCTGTTGTTTTGAGATGGCATAATAGCACTTCTTCAAGCAGAAGAGAGAGAAAATGCTTTAGATTTTTTCCCTTTAGAACCTGTCTCATAATGACACAAGGAGAAATAATGACGCTTAAGGGAACAAACGATACGTGAAAAATGGTCTGAGTGCATAATTATAGATTTTTGTGGTTTTTTTTCCTCTCTAATCTTTTGTGTGTGTGTGATATTTGATGAATCACATCATTAAGATAATGTGAGCTACTTGAGAACAAACGCAGTGACTCAGAAACTCTAAGTCAGTGGGATTTAAGTGGTGACATAACCAGATCCTTGGTGTGCTGGGGTAGAGGTCAGGATCCCAGAGAGTGGAAATAGAGACTATTGCATAAGGAGATGATGACCAAGGTTGCTTTTGTATTTACATTGTGACCATTTTAAAGGGCAGATAAAAAAAATGAAATTCTTTGTGTCAGTTATATTTAACAGACTAAGAATTAATTCCTTCTAGCTATTGACATAAAGTAGAAAGTAACATAACATTTTCATCGCCTATCCTTTTTTTTGTTGTTGTTAAGATTTATTTATGGGGCCAATGCTGTGGGGTAGTGGGTAAAGCCATTGCCTGCAGTGCCAGCATCCCATATGGGCGCAAGTTCTAGTTCCAGCTGCTCCACTTCCAATCCTGCTCTCTGCTGTGGCCTGGGAACGCAGTAGAAGATGGCCCAAGTGCTTAGGCCACTGCACCTGCATGGGAGACCTGGAAGAAGCTACTGGCTCCTGGGTTCAGATTGGTGCAGCTCTGGCTGTTGCAGCCATTTGGGGAGTGAACCAGCAGATGGAAGACCTACTTTTCTCTCTCTCTCTCTCTCTCTCTCTACTTCTCTCTCTCTACCTTCCTCTCTCTGCCTCTGCCTCTCTGTAACTCTGCCTTTAAAATAAATAAATGAATCTTACAGTTACAGAGTTACAGAGAGAGAGCGAGAGAGAGAGAACACTTCTGCTAGTTCATTCCCCAAATAGCTGCAATGACTGGGACTGGGCCAGGCTGCAGCCAGGAGTCTGGAACTCCATCCGGGTCTCTCACATGATTGACAGGGACCCAGGAACTTGCCATCTTCCGCTGCTTTCCCAGGTGCATCAACATGGAGCTGGATCAGAAGTGGAGCAGCTGGGACTTACTGGGCGCCCATATGGGATGCTGGCGTTACAGGTTGTGGTTTAATCTGGTACACCACAATGCTGGCCCTGTGTACTGTTCAATTAAATTATTCATTTGTATCTTCACACAATGCATAATCCAAGGAGGATTTGGAATCAGATAGAAATTGTTTCCTCATTATTTTTGATAATGAATGCCTGAATTGGAATCCCCAATAACAGTGTACCTCACAGACAAAGCAGGTGCCTTGACCAGCTCTGTTCACTCAAAATCTGAGGGGTGCTCAGCTGCAGGTGACGGCCCTTTGTGTTCCCTTCTGCTGCTTCTCATGTGGCTTTGCTTTACTCTTGCTGTGTAGGAAATAGCGTTGTATGCACCTGCAGGAATAAGTATCTTACCTTTGGAGACTTGTCTGAGGGGCAAGCGTTGTGATGCAGAGGATTAAACTGCTGCTCGGGGCACTCCCGTCCTGCCTCCACTTCCGACCCACCTTCCTGGTAATGAGCACCCTGGGGGCCAGTGCTGATGGCTCCAGTACTTGGGTCCCTGCCACCCATGTGGGAGCCCGGGATTGAGTTCCTGGCTCCTGGCTTCACCCTGGCCCAAACCTAGGTGTTGGCGCGCATTTGAGGGAACCAGCATATGGAGTAGATATATTCCCGCCCCCCCACACCCGCTCTACCATTAAGTAAACTTTAAAAAGTTGACGGGTGAGCACCCTGTAGCCTGCGAAGATCTGCAGGCCATAGGATTGCCCTGCGCGCTGCAGTCCTCAGATGGCAGCCTGTCCACACATCTGGGTGCGGGCCCGTGAAGGTCGCCCTGCCTGTTCACAGTGCTTCCGCTGGCCTGAGGGGGAGGGAGTCTCAGTCAACGCCTGCTGCATGAAAAGCATCCAGGGGGTGTTCAAGACGGCACAGGGCAGAGGGACCCCCCCCCGCGCGCCGTGGGTTGCGTGTGAGCCTGACGCACACACGTGGGGTGCGGGTAGACACGTCACAGAAGCGAGGGGGCGGAATGCCTCTGAGAAAAGCCGAGGGCTGAGCCCCCGCTGGCTGACAGTGGTACTCTCGGACAATCGCAGCTGTTGCTAGGAACGTTCAGGAACAACGAGCCTCCTCACTGCCCCAGTGAGTCGCAGCAGAGCCCTAGGGCGCGGAAGGGCTGCAGCAGGTGGGCTGAGCGGCCAGGAGGGGGCTGGGGAGGCGGCCAGGCCGCCCTGTGGGCGGAGTCTCCCGCCCCGCCCCCGGCGTGCGCGCTCCTGCCGGCGGCCGCCGTGGGCGCGCGGAGGGCTGGGCCTTCCGCACCCGGCCTCGGGATAAATACGGCGTCCTGTCGCCGGCCGGGCTGCTGGTACGGCCGGGACCCCGACCTGAGAGGTAGGACGGGCAGCGCAGCGGCCGCAGCCGAGCCCGCGGGCCGGCTCCCGGTGTCGGAGGGGCGGGGCAGGGTGGGCGAGGGTCGGCTGTGAGCTCTGAGAGCGCAGGGCCGGGGGCTGGGAGCGGCGTGGCAGACGCCTGGAAAGCCGCTGAATGCCGCCGGCACGGTGGGGCGCCTGGCCTGGGTCAGCCAGCCGTTCTCTAGGTCCTAGAACCGGGGAGGCCGAGCTGCAGTTCTGCGGTCAGCTTCCACGGAGGCAGACTCAGCGGGGCGCAGTAAGGCCCGCAGTGTCAGAGCACCGACGGCGAAGGTGCTCCCGCATCTGACCTCCTCTAATCCTTAACGTCTGTGTGGCTTTTAAAGAGTTACTAGAGAACTAGGTCTGGATTTCAGAAACTGCTTGTTTTGATGAATTTAAAGGTGTCCATGGCTACGGTAAGAGCCATATGATCCTTGAATTAATGCATTATGGTATCAGAAACAACCGTCCTTTAAAAGGGGGGGGGGTTAAAAAAAGTCTCAAGAAATCGCAATTTATTAGTTTTTTCATTTATAACGTTTTTAATGAAGATTTATTTTATCTTATTCGAAAGGCAGAGCTACAAAGAGGGGGAGAGAGAGATATTCCATCCACTGATTCACTCCCATATGGCCATAGTGGCCTGATCTGGGCCAGATGGAAGCCCAAGCCCAGAGCTGCTACCGGGTTTTGTATGCTGGTGCAGGGGCCCAAGCACTTGGACCATCCTCCGGATGGCTTTCCCACACACATTAGCAGGGAGCTGGCTCAGAAGTGGAGCAGCTGGCTGTGCTTTAACTGCTTTGCCACAACACTGGCCCCAATTTACAATTCCTTTTACTGAAGATTTGTAGAAACTGCCTAGTGTAGGTTGTTGCATGAAAGAAAACCAAATTGACAGTATTTCGAGTTTACTAAGTCCTACATTGATTCTGACCAACTTGGCCTTTTACCAGTAAGTTGGATGCCAGGAAAAGAAGTACAGATTGGAGATCTTGGTGGGGTGGGGGTGGGGGTGGGGGGTGCTGGTGGGGAGGGAGCAGACAACGAAGAGTGTGAGAACTGGAAGGTGGAGCTACAGATGACCTAGTCCAAGCCTTCATTCCACAGTGCCGATACTGGATCGTGGGCTCCTGCACCTGTCCTAACCACTTGGCACTGGTAAATGGCAATGGTTCTTTTCTCTGAGCCTATCATGGTGCTCAGTGGCCCTTGTTAGAGTTATCCAAGGCAGAAGGTTCTGATACTTTGTGAGTTATTGAGGAGTGTGAATGTGGACTGAGGATCTTCAGGGAAGTTACTCCATTAGAACGTTCATTTTAAGATGGAGTGTTGGCAACTGAAAATTTATTAATACAGTACAGAAGACCACGCCGGTCTTGGGTTCAGAACCTGGGACTAGACATTGGGAGCCTTAGTTCAAAGCCCCAATGTTCCCCGTGGCAGCTCTGGCCCTTTAGAACGGTCAGTTAAGCTGTGTGGGCCTTTGTGGCTTCATTTACGAAATGAGGGTGCTGCAATCAACCGATACTCAGGTTTTCAACTTCAAATTATGGTGTGTGTGGGTCACACGCGGTTAGAGCTCTTTGGAAATTTTCTGGTTAAACCATATGATAAAAACTTAGCTTGCTTTGTGGTTAATTGCTCAATTTTGGTTCCATGATCTTTGAACTTTGGAATTGTATTCATGCAAACCATAGTATAAGTATGGTATATGTTGTTTATAGAACTCCTCTTTGAGGAGACATTAGGTTCTGTTTGAGGGTGTGTGCTTTTCTCTCCCTCCTTTTTTTTGTTTTTTTGGACAGGCGGAGTTATCTCTCCCTCTTAACCACCCCTTGCCCCACACTGAAACTAGAGGCAGGGAAGACAACTCTCGCTTGGAGGTGGTAGGCGGCAGTAGTTTGGATTATTATTTTTTTAAAGATTTATGTATTTGAAAGTCAGAAGTCAGAGCTACATCGAGAAGGAGAGGCAGAGAGAGGGAAGTCTTCCATCTGCTGGTTCACTCCCCAGTTGACTGCAATGCCTGGGAGCTGTGCTGATCTGGAGCCAGGAGCCAGGAGCTTCTAGGTCTCCCACATGGGTGCAGAGGCTCAAGGACTTGGGCCATCTTCTACTGCTTTCCCAGGCCACAGCAGAGCGCTGGCTCGGAAGTGGAGCAGCTGGGACTTGTATCGGCGCCCATATGGGATGCCGGCACTGCAGGTAGCCGCTTTACCCACTGCGCCACAGTGCCGGCCCTGAGTAGTTTGGATTATAAATGTGAAGATAAGTAGAACTTTGAGTAAGTTTTTATTGATTTGAGTTTTTCAGATAGAATTTGGTCCATTTTACGGGTAGCAGAACTGGCAAAAGTATGTATGCTTGGGTTATAGTAGAGTGTTTTGACTATTGAGTTTTTTATTGTTAAGTGGAAGATTGGAGAAAAAGCTGATATTTATCATAGCACCACCTCTTCCCCCTAAGTGTGTGAGTCTATATTAATATCCTCACTGAACGGATTCGGAAGTTAGGATCAACAGGAGCAAATGGTGGTCCAACGTCAGAGCTCTGAGTAGCGACTAAAGGACTTCAACTCAGGGCCTTCTCATTGCAGACCCCCTGACCTCCTGATCCCAGTTTCTGTGCTGTGTTTTATACTCCTGAGGGGGAAATTCCTAAGCCACCATCGTTGACCCAAACCCTCAGTGTTCAGATGGGCGAAGTGCTCCTAGACGGGGAGTGGCTCACGTCACCCTCGCTGCAGCCCTCTGTGGCTGCCGCTGTGTCAAAGTCACTGGAGGCCGTTGTTTTTGACCAGTCTCCGGCACTAGGCCACAACAGACGAGGCCAAAAATCAACATGTAGTCATCCCTGCTAAAGTTCTGTGTTCTCAAGCTGAAAGGAAGTTGCTTGGCCTGCCAAGAAATGAGAGTTAGGGAGCATCCAGATGGACCAGTTTTCTTTGGTACAGTAACGAAGTTCCTTCTGCTTTAATCCTTAGACCAGAGAGGTAGCCTGAAATAATCTGGTGTTAATTAACCATTGTTTTCTTGCTGGTGTAGCGCTCTCGCCTTTTCTACAAGGAAAGTAACTTGGAAATGATCAGTCTTTTCGTTCTTTTCTGTTTGCTGTCTTCAGCCTCTCCCAGCCCATAAAACCAACCTCTTCTGCTCAGCCCATCAGAGAGCTTCCACTTTATGTGATGAAGTGGTGCCTGAATCTAATTAAGGTCTTCAAATGGTTCTAATTTGGTCCTTTGGCACTATTGTCTCCATTGTTCAGAAGAAGTTGAGGTCCAGAGAGGTTAATTGACTGGCTCAGGGAGTCTCAAGCTTGCAGACGTAGACAGAACTCAGGCTTATCCGACTCCAGAGTGGTCTCCTGACCACCAGGCCTGCCATGCTGGCTGTGAGCCTGCCACAGTCACGTGAACCAGTTCCTTGATAGAGGGACTCAGCTGCAGCTCACTGTCCCGGGAGTTTTTCTGTGTGATGGGGTTCTTGCCTCCAGCTCTGAAGGCTTCCTCCTCATCACAGGACAGGAGGGCCAGCCTCTACACACAGCTCTGGTCTCGGGAGCTGGGCTGTGGAAATGGGGCCCTCTGCTCCACAAGGAAGGAGGAGGAAGCCAAGGACCACAGAGACCCAAGCAGACGGGACTGGCCATGAAGAAACACTGAATGGATTCCAGAGACCCTTATTCTAACAATGTGACTGTTTTGAAGGATAGCACTCATTCCAGCTTAAAAATGTTTGCTAACTCTGTGGAAACAACAGTTGGGTAACTTTAATCTCATCCTACATTCTGTCGATAGCTGATAAGGGAGAAAGCCAGTGTGTGTGCCGTGTTCTACCCTTCCCAGTGTGGAGTGGAGTTCCTGTGATTGAATGGAGAGGGCTGCTTTGGGGACCTGGAAATGCATAGGCACTGTATGCCTGTTTGGCTCCCATACTACAGCTCTGGGGTTCTTTTTTTTTTTTTTTTTTTTTTTAAGATTTATTTATTTCCTTGAAGGTCAGCGTTACATACACACACAGGTCTTCCATCTGCTGGTTCACTCCCCAGTTGGACACAGTGGCCGGAGCTGTGCCTTTACAAAGCCAGGAGCCTCTTCTGGGTCTCCCACGCACGTGCAGGGAAGGACCTGGGCCACCTTCCACTGCTTTCCCAGGCCATAGCAGAGAGCTGGATCAGAAGTGGAGCAGCTGGGACTAGAACCGGCACCCATATGGGATGCCGGCACTGCCGGCGGCAGCTTTCCCACTACACCACAGCACCGGCCCCATGTGTTGGGTTTCTTGACATTGTGAAGCATCACTCAGATTTTGTTGGTTAAATGTTGCATCTGTCAGCCTTTGTGGCATTCCACATAGATGCTGAAGACCCAAGAAAGGGAAATCTGTCATAGATGAAGAAGGTTGGCTCACACGTTTGACCCATGCTTAGACATAGCTTGCATGGCTGATGCGAGTGCAGCGGGAAGCAGCTTGCCCAAGGAGGTGACCCTCCTGCTGCACCTCGGAGGCTGCCTCTCACCTGTGTTGTGCAGGTGGTGTTCAGACTCCCTGCAGTGTGTGCCCAGTGCACACCCATGCGACACCTTCTGCTTAAAACAGGCGTTGACAGTGTGAAAAAGGAAGCTGTCGAGTCACCCAGCTGGTGTGGGCGGCCCAGGGTTGGAAAACATTTCCACAGGGCTTTCAGCAGAGCCGATTAGGGAACCCTGTCCTCGATAGACCTTCTGAGCAAACAAGCTGAGGGCACAGAACTCAGGAGGGGAAGTTACAAAGTGTCCTGAGTCTACATTTCTTGGTGTCTGTGGGAGCTCCCCAGTTCCTGGTTTTGAATGTTTCGCTGAGGTGTGGAAAGAAAGCCTATTGAGTTGCTGCTTCCTGTTTGGTTCTGATGCTGGGACTTATCACTGCTGTGTCCTTGTCCAGCTTTGACCTGGGCACCTGCTCCTCATCTTGAAGGTGTGGCCAGGCACAGAGTCCACTTTGTCCCTAGGGGCCCTCAGCCGCTGGCTGTTCTGCAGTTATTGTCTTCAGGGCTATTAGGAAGTTCTTCCATACAGTGCCTGCAATGTCTTCTGTTAGTCCCTTTCTGAGCAAATCTAACCCTTGTATTTGACAGCTCAGTGAGAGTTTGAGAATAGTAATCATGTCCTCCCAGAAACGTCCCTTATCTCGGCGCAGCAGACTGGTGCTCGTGAAGTTTCTCCGGGTTCGGAGGCCTCCTTCCCTTCTCTAATCCCCTCTTCTCCAGCGTGCTGCTCAGAACTAAGTTTAAAACTTAATGTATGGCCGGCGCCGCAGCTCACTAGGCTAATCCTCCGCCTGCGGCACCGGCACCCCAGGTTCTAGTCCTGATCGGGGTGCCGGATTCTGTCCCGGTTGCTTCTCTTCCAGTCCAGCTCAGTGCTGTGGCCAGGGAGTGCAGTGGAGGATGGCCCAAGTGCTTGGGCCCTGCACCCCATGGGAGACCAGGAGAAACACATGGCTCCTGGCTTCAGATCAGCGTGGTGCTCCAGCCGCAGCGGCCATTGCGGGGTGAACCAATGGAAAAGGAAGACCTTTATCTCTGTCTCTCTCACTGTCCACTCTGCCTGTCAAAAAAATAAAAATAAAAATAAACACTTAATGTAATAAACAGAGAACAGATTGGGCCTGTGGCAAATGCCACACTTCAGTAAGAGCACTCAGATGGTATGTGCATTATTTTGCACTCAGACCCCATGCCCTGTCAGTTCACACAGTGTGTAGGATTTAGAAACACCTGTTTACTCGTAGGGTGTCGCTGATGTGGATTTGTAGAATTTTATGGCAGCAGCGCTGATGGGGGAGGGGAAGAGGACACGAGCAGTAGTTTTTGAGTATGCTGTGTGCCTGGCCTTGTGTTGGAAGTAATGAAAGCAGTTAGTAATGGGAGCTGGTTGGGATGATCACTTACGGGGTGATTGAAAGGTGGGCTTTGGTTGTAATTATGATATTTGGATTTTTTCTTTCTTTTAAAGGAACAGTGAGCAGAATGAATACCCCACAGGACCAGAGTGGCTGCTCCAGTAATAGAGAACCCCTTTTGAGGTGTAGTGATGCACGGAGGGACCTGGAACTTGCTATTGGTGGCGTTCTCCGAGCTGAACAGCAAATTAAAGAGAACTTGCGTGAGGTGTGACATGTGCTTTTCTCCTCCTTTGTCTGGGCTGGTAGCACAAGGCTGGTTAGAGCATTGTCAAGGACTTGGCTGCTCCATGCCAACCAAGAAGTTGTACCCCGTACCTTGTGTGGTCTGCTTAATCCTAGTCAGCTACCTGGTACCTTGGTGGCTTTGATCCCAAGGGAAAATAAGGCAGATCCTAGAGGAGTTGAAAGCCTTACTCTCAAGCATTCTGTTCAATATGTACTTTTTAAAAATGATTTATTTATTTGAGAGAGAGAGAGCTTGCATCTGATGATTCACTTGCCAAATGCTTCCAATGGCTGGGTCTGGACCAGGCCAAAACTGGAATGTGGGAACTCAATCTAGGTCTCTCACGAAAGTAGCAGGAACCCAATTATTTGAGCCATCCCATGGTCTGCATTAGCAAGAAGTCTAGCGTCAGGAGTTAGAGCCAGATATTGAACTCAGGTCTCTGATGTAGTAACCACCAGGCTAAAGTGCCTGCCCCAGCATGCATATGTGATTGCTCATCTGTGTGGTCCCTGTGCCAGGCATTGTCATCAACACAAAATGAATGAAGTCAGTGAGCTGTGTGCTGTTGGTTTGCATCCTCTTGATGGATACAGGAATGGATACAAGATGGCCTTCAGCATGCCGCCATCATCTAACTTGTTGGTGGCATGGTTCCCCTAAATGACTTCACTTGTTGGGGCAGGTCAGAATGAAATCTGTTAGTTCCAGTGGTATTCTTCAGTAAGTGTATAGAGCAAATATAACTTGATTTTGAAACACAACTTTATTACACAGGACAAGATGTTTTTTTATTTTTTATTCATTTTTTAAAAGATTTATTTATTTGAAAGAGTTACAGAGAGAGAGAGAGGTTTTCCATCCGCTAGTTCACTTCCCAATTGGTCGCAATGTCTGGAGCTGTGCTGATCTGAAGCCAGGAGCTTCTTCCAGGTCTCCTACGCGGGTGAGGAGTCCAAGGACTTGGGCCATCTTCCACTGCTTTCCCAGGCCATAGCAGAGAGCTGGATCAGAAAGAGGAGCAGCTGGGACTAGAACCAGCACCCATATGGGATGCTGGTGCTTCAGGCCAGGGCGTTAACCCACTGCGCCGCAGCGCTGGTCCCAAAATGTTTTTTAAAATACAGTTTTTGGGATGGATGTTTAGCCCCGTGGTTAGGGTGCTGGTTAAGAGGCCCGTGTTCGATATTAAAGTGCCGGGGTGCAATGCTTGCTTTCATGTCCTGACTCTAGCCTGGGAGGCAGCACTGATGGTTCAAGTGATTGGATTCCTACCACCCACTTGGGAAACCTGGATTGGGTTCCCAGCTCCCAACTTTGGCCCTGGCCAAGCCCCACCCATTGTGGGTATTTGAGGAATGAGCCAGCAGATGGGTGGGAGCTGTGTGTGTGTGTGTCTATGTGTCTAAGATAAAAATTTCAAAATACAGAGTTTCTTACTTTCATGGACCATTTATAGCTGTTTTGATTTTTCCCCTTGGACTTCTATATTTAACTCCAATTGGAATCAATGTTTATGCTTCCAGAAACGTAAATTTTTAATTGTCCTTAAACTTTCCACACTGTGGACGTTAGCCATTGAAGTGTGTTGGCAGCTCTTTTTACTAAGTTGGCTTACTGTACGAGGACTGTTCATTTTGTGGGATGAGAGGAGATGAGGGCCGGCTATGTAGATAACATCCTGACGAAAGGGTTTAAAACTATGTGGAAAGTTGATGGGGCTCAGTGTCTCCCGGAGGGCCCACCTTTGTATTTTCTTTTGCTTGCTCTAGGACACCCAAAATTAACCTGATCCTCTGAGGGGGAAGGGATACCGGGGGAGGATCTTAGAGCTCAGTTCATGTTTTGGCCTGGGATTCTTTAAAAGTAGGGTCTGTAAGGCTTTGGTGGGTCTGTGGCTTGCGTTTGGGACAACAAATCTTAAAAATTACAGTCAAAATTGAGTATATGCATTTTTCCTGGGGAGATGCACTATAGCTATCATTGATTAATCCAAAGGATTTGTGATCCCAGAAAGTGTAAGACCCTCATAGTTCTGTGGAAAAATAGCATCCTTTGGCTTTATGACTCCGGTGAAGCTAACACGTGTGTGTTTATCCCAGGTCAAGGCTCAGATCCACAGTTGCATCAGCCGTCACCTGGAATGTCTTCGAAGCCGCGAGGTGTGGCTGTATGAACAGGTAGACCTCATCTATCAGCTTAAAGAGGAGACGCTTCAGCAGCAGGCCCAGCAGCTGTACTGGGTAAGGGGACTGCATGGCTACGGTTGGTTTGAGCATGGTGTCTGGTTTCCAGACAATGTCTTCCTCACAATACACTGTCAGTGCAGGTTACCTACATGTTCAGTTTCAAGTGCTGTTTGTGAACTGGGCTATACCTGGTGCTTTGAGTTTCATTGTGGCTATGACTTCATTTTTCTTCTAGTTACTGGGCCAGTTCAATTGTCTCATTCATCAGCTGGAGTGCACCCAAAACAAAGATCTAGCCAATCAAGTCTCCGTGTGTCTGGAGAGGTAAGGATGCTGTGGCTTATTTTCCATGTCCTTGATTTTGATACGGTAAAGTCAGTTTTGTGAGTTACTGTGTGTGTTGGTGCCACCTTCTCTATTGTGATAAGATCAACCTGCTTTATTATGACACTTGCTGATACCTAATTTAGTATTCAGTGTTTGAGTTTCTTAGAAACATGCAGTCATTTGAAATTAGAATTTAGCTTCTGCTTTGATGTTGGAACAGGCATTCCTTAGAATTTTTGTTTATTTTACTTATTTCCCCCCAGACTGGGCAGTTTGACCCTTAAGCCTGAAGATTCGACTGTCCTGCTTTTTGAAGCAGACACAAGCGCCCTGCGCCAGAACATCACTTCTTTTGGGTCGCTCAAGACCATGGTGAGTAGTGCTGACCGCACATGCTGCAAGGGGCCTGTAGCCCATGGCCTTCCACAGATAGTCATTTTAAAAAATAAGAGTAGTGACTTTCTCTTCTCAGAAACTTCGTACTCTGATAAAGTTGATATACTCTTAGGCTGGTAGTTCTTAGTCTGGTGATTGAATCATTGGTCGTCTTTGTAGCTGATTCTGTATCTCTGTAAGTACTTTTGGCATATTTCTTAGGAAATCTATGGCTTGACTGGCCTTTAGTAAAAAATCAAACATGGTCTCATTTGGGTCACGTTAAGAGTAGTAATATTCCAATTCTGGTGAAGATTTCTTACCTGATGATAGTTATGTAGTGAATAGAACTCAGATGTTACAGCTGTGTTGTAGGCTATTGGATATAATGTGAACAGTAGTAGTGAAGTGGCAACTCTTTGCTCAGTACTTTTACTTTGAGAAATTATGCTGTGATTTTCCTTTTCTGTTCTTGGTGTGGAAGCATAAACAGGGTGACTAAATTGCCTTAACTTTTACAGCAAATACCTGAGCACCTGACGGCTCATGCTAGTTCATCAAATGCTGGGTCTCTCCTGGAGAACAGAGGCCACATCCCAATGCCAGAGCAGGTAAAAATCATTTTCTTTCTGATAACTGAATCATTGTTTGGCTTATGGTCCCTTTTGGTTTTGAGTAAATCATCCCTGTTTTTTGTTTTCTGCTGTTTATTTTGCAAAAAGCCACCAGTTAGTTTGTGCAGTTGAATACTTCCCTTGAGATTGAATGTCAAGTAGAAATTAAGCTGTCTAATAGGTGTTGAATAACAGAGAAAGCAGTTGTTAACCGATTCATAGGAAATTATCATTAGCTTTCCTACTGCTGTGGGTTCACTCTTTGGGATCCACCTCTAAAGGCAGTGTGACTAAAGAATCCTAGACATCCGTCTTGAGGAGAATCCTGGAGTTGCGCTGTACTCCTCAGTTCACAGGAGTAGAAATGGAGCCATGGCCAAGGCATCTGCCTCTCCCGGTCAGTGGCCAGCCCAGATTAGAGAGCTCGAGGCTGCTGTTCTTCAGAGGAACTTTCTACTGCATTTGACATCTCCTTGTTAAGAGGCAAAATATTGTCTGATTGACAGAAGGCAGCATCCCGCACCGCAGCTGTCCCTCTCAGTAACTGGCTCCTTGGAAGCAAACCTGCTGGTGGCTGTCCAGTTCCTTACATACCCAGCACCAACCTGCAGGACTGGCTTAGCCAAAAGCAGACCGCGGAGAACAGTCAGGTTTGTTGCTGCCTTTATCATGTCTGGTGCCTGGAGTAGCAGGTGGGGGTAGCTACTTTCTTAGTCTGGCAATATACTTATTAATAACTTTAATTACGATACTGAGATTGCTTTCTTACAGTTAGAAAGTTAGGAAATAAAGGACATTATATTTAAAAGAACCATAAACCCACAATCCCAATATGAAAAGATAAAAGCGTTTTTGTTTATGTACTTCATTTTCCTATGCATTGGTATACTTTTAAATATAGTTCTAAAAAAACCGCATCTATAAGTCTTGTTAAGATTTTTTTGGCCGGCACCGCGGCTCACTAGGCATTTAATCCTCCGCCTGCAGCACCAGCACCCCCGGGTTCTAGTCCCGGTTGGGGCGCCGGTTCTGTCCCGGCTGCTCCTCTTCCAGTCCAGCTCTATGCTGTGGCCCGGATAGGCACTGGAGGATGGCCCAGGTGCTTGGGCCCTGTACCCGCATGGGAGACCAGGAGGAAGCACCTGGCTCCTGGCTTCAGATCAGTGCAGCGCCGGCCGTAGCAGCCATTTGGGGGTGAACCAACAGAAGGAAGACCTTTGTCTCTCTCTCTAACTCTGCCTGTCCAAAAAAAAATTTTTTTCACCAGTATAGCACAAAATATATTCCTGTGTCATTTAATTTCTCGCATAAAGTCTGTAGTAGTATATAATATTGATTGGCTATAACTTAAATCCCAGTTTTTCTAGCTGTAACAAAGGTTAAAGCCAGTTGTGCACACTCTTGATTAGTTCCTTAAGAATGAACGTGGAGAAACTGCATTCCTAGATCACTGTTCTGTGTACCTTTGAAGGCTGCCAGTCTGGCTTTCCAGGAAGTTGGGAATGTGTGCAATTTCCACCAGCAGAACGTTCAGGGTACCTGCTTCCTGAAACCTCACTGATGATTTGCAAGTTTTTTCCTCTGAGTTTGACGTGGCGTAGTGATTTTGCTTTTTTTGCTGGGTGCCTTTGATTATAAGGTGGTTGTGCACGCTCATGTTTATTAGGTTTCTATGATGATTCCCTAGATCGTAGTACTTGCCCTTTTTTGTCATCTTTATTCATGGTCACGTAGCTACCGGCCACTTTTTTGTCACACGGGCCACAACTACTTTGTCATCGTTTGCCTCTTCCATTCTTGTTTTTTACAGACTGCAGAAAATAGTTTACGTAGCACATCTGTTTTGATACCTACACAGAAATCCATTGCCCCTTGGCTTTATATTTAAGTTAGAAACATTAGGCAAGGCAGTGAACGCAGAGTCCCCAAAGCCGTCCGCATTGTCCTGACGCACTAACACTGTGTGCTTTCGTGTAGACACCCGCCAGAGCCTGCCATTCCTTCAGTAACGTCTGGGATGACGTGAAGGGCTTAGAAAACTGGCTCCTCAAGAGTCGGCAGGAAATCCCCGAGAAGCCAAGTTTCCAAAAGCGCCACAGCCCTCCTGCTGGCAGCGCCGTCTCTGCGGAAGTCGGAAAGGTGGAAGATGGGGAGCTGCTTGGTCCGGAGGAGATGGACCTGTCTGACTGGCTGCTGACTCCCCAGGCATCGCCCACGCTGCAGAAGCCTGAGAGTAGCAGCTGGGAAGCCAGCGAGAAGGCGAAGCGCTTGGTCCAGGTCTTCCAGCAGCCCTACAGTGTGAATGATTGGCTTGCCAAGCCCGACTCTTGTTCCAACTGTGGGGGCAACCAGCCCAAAGGCGTGGAGATTGAAAACCTGGGCAGCCTCAAGTGCCTGAACGACCATCTAGAGGCCAAGAAGCCTTTGTCCACCCCCAGCGTGATCACGGAAGATTGGCTCATCCAGAAGCGTCAGGACCCGTATAAAGTGGAAGAGGTGTGCAGAGCCAACGAGCCCTGCGCAAGCTTCGCAGAGTGCGTGTGTGAGGAGAATTGTGAGAAGGAGGCGCTGTGTCAGTGGCTTCTGAAGAAGGAAGGAAAGGATAAGAATGGGATGCCTGTGGAGCTCAAGGCCGCCCCTGCCCCTGGGGCCTGTAAAGGTTCCCTGAGCATGTGGCTCTGCCCATCCGGAAAGGAGGCGGCACAGGCTACCGCACCAAAGGCCGCGGCTCCGTCCAGAGTCACCGGTTCCTTCCAAGTCATAAAGAACAGTCCCTTGTCAGAGTGGCTCATGAGGCCCTCCCGCAGAGAGCCTGGTACCACAGACGGGCCTGGCCAACCAAAGCTTACAAACCCGGCGGCCACGTCTTGCTGTCCCTTTAACGCTGCCGACTGGGTCCTGCCCAGAAAGAAGACAGGTGACCTCAGCCAGCTAGCCTCTGGGGAGGATAAGTGGCTCCTGCGGAAGAAGGCTCAGGTGAGCAGACGTCAGCAAAGAGCAGTCGAGTTCTGGAAACAGGCCAGATCCTTAAATGTGTTTAAGTGCTAAATTTGGCTAAGGTATTCAGTTTGGTGGCTAGTTGGCAACTGAATGGGAAATGTAAGATTATTCAGAACAAATGGTTTGTGCCAGAAAACTGCAACTCGCTTTACTATTTAAGGAAAAAGACTTCTGTTATCTTTGGTCTTGGTTCTGGTCTTTGTAGACAGTGTTTGGGAGGTGTTGGTCTTGGGGCTCCCAGCGGTCCCACAGCAGCACACCTGTCTTGTTTTCTTGCAGGAAGTCTTACTTACTTCACCACTAAGGGAGGAGCGACCCTTCAGCCCAGACCGTTATGGCCTCCCAGCAGTCTGTGATCTCTTTGCCTGTATGCAGCTTAAAGTTGACAAGGAAAAGTGGCTGTATCGAACTCCTCTGCAGGTAGGCACGGGCCGCCAGGTACTGCAGTGTCACAGCTGCTTAGGACAGAAACGTGTCTTACATGTGAATCTGTACTTTGTCCACTGCGGATGCGGCAAGGGGGCTCGGAAAAGTTGGATGTCTCAGTTGGACTTGCTTTAAGAAAACGCATACTTGAAAGTGACCTTTCAGGGTGTAAGTCTAGAATTTTCAGATCTCCTATGGAATCCATCCTGATACTGAGAAATGAGTCAGTTTTAAGGTGAGGGATTTGCTTTTGTTCTCCAGAGAAGTGACTTGTCCTTTGTGGGTCTCTCTCCAGATGTGAAGGAATGGACGGCTCCGCAAGCAGCTTCTCTGCAGACTGTCACACACCCATGCGCTGAGTGACTGCAGCTTGCCAAATCACTTCTCGGTCTGAACTGTCAGCTTAGTTCCTTTCCTGCCTAATTTTGAACTAGCGAAGACAAACAAGTCATCAGACTCCACGTTCCCGTGTAAAAGACAAGGCTGTTGGTCGATGCTGAGACGATGCCGCTCCTTCTTACAGGATTGACTCACCCCCACACTGGAGCGGCAGCGCTGGTGGATAGGCCCGCACAAGCTTCCTTGGCTGCTTAGCTTGGGTTGTCACGAGCAGTACATTAAAACCCTGTCACTGGCAAATGAGACCTTTCTGGAATCAACTGTGTTGATGTGTTCTAAAGCTACCGACCTTCCCCGCCCTGTGGGTTTTCTTCTATTAATGGCCTCAAATAATGAGCCTTGCCAATATAGTGGGTTTTTATCTCACCAAAATATGTGTTCATCTTGGCAGTTTTTGACATTAACTACCAAATATTTTAACCTATGTTATCAGTCCTACGTTGTTTCTTCACTTGAAATTGAGCAGTTTTTTCTTTGTTCCTTTCTCTGTTATTAAAGTGCTTTCAGAACGGCTCTGCATTGTTCAGGGTCATTTTCAGGGCAGTCTTTGCCTCTCCAAAAATATTCTGCAGACCCACAGGCCCAAGAGCAAAAAGGCAAGGCACGTTGTGAAACTTGAACCATTCACTACCCTGCGGATTACTGGTGCATCCTGTGTCGATGGAAGCTGAGCTTGATACCTGGTGCTTTTAACTAGGGATAAAGTCAACAGCCCCTGCCCACAAGCACAGCACTCCTGTGCCTCCACAGTACAATGCGGTGACACTTATGTGAACAGGCCACAACACTTGTGCCTTGGGGTGTTTATTGACGCTTTATGAAAACTATTTGATGTTTTGTTAACATCCTTAAAGTCACATCCATGCTTTAAAGTTTCTCTGTGGGTCACTCATGGGATTTACGAGATTGTAAATCCCATAAGGTTTCCTGGTCCCACAGTGTCACTGCTGTGTAGCTTCACTGGAGTGCTTCAGATTACACACAGCTGAAAAAGCCCTCATATTACTTAACCCCCCCCCCATACCGTGTAAAAGTATTACAATACAGGTGGTGGATAAAACAACTTTCCAATGTCTTAGGTTGCAGGAAACTGTGTCCTTTTTCAAAAATCTAACACACTATACATACCCAAATGTAATTTATATCTATCACTGTGCTAATGAATTTATAAAACATTCTTTTGCGTTGATCCGTTTTTACCTCCCTTCATTAAAAGCATAATCACCACTTTTTGTCCTCGTTGTGAGTATTTGTAAAACTATTTGTTTACATGTGGGATAATCTAGTTAGGAATATGGCTGAGAAACAACTTGAACACATAAATAAATAATTTATTTACTAAGATGTCTTACGAATATTAAATTTAAAAAACTTGTCCTTATTTCCAAGGCTTCCTTGAAAGGAGTCTTAACTTAATTATTCCCAGTAACAAAGGATAAAAAGGCTTACACATGATTGCTAGACACAGTATTCTAGTCCACTGCTTTAATGGTTAACACAAAACACGGTGAGCTGTAGTATCAGTTTGTGCCAAACTGCTGTAAACTTACCCTACCTCTTAATACCACCAGTAGCCCTTCATTGCAACACCAACAGGAAAATCTTGTTTTGGCCTGGCTGGGGCAGAAAAGGCCAAGAGTAACTTACATTCTAGTGAAGACACATTCTAGTGAAGACACCCCCTCTACTTGGAGTTAGACCTTTAGCTCTGTTTTCACCCTTTATTTGGAATACAGGGCATCATTAGCGTTCGGATCATGAAGTGAACAAACTTGGTGATATATAGGGTATTACAGCAAGGACCTGAATTCTGGGAATAAGTGGCTTTCTCGTTCAGGAGGGGGGAGAGAACTGGTTCAACATCTCCTCCAGAGGAGAGAACCACACAACTCAGTGAGCTCCACCGAGGGTTTTGGCTGCAGCTCACTAAGGGCAAGGAGTGCCAGTCCTGGTTACCCATCCATAATCTTCGTCAGAGCCAGTCTCCAATTTCCAAAGCAAACTGTAGGCAGAGCAGCTCCTGCTAAGCTGATCTGGGCGACGGCTGCGGCTGTGGCGCCTTCAGAGCGACTGCTGCAGCAGGGAGCCTTTCATGTGCTCCCAGTTGTTGTAGAGCGCGTAGAGGCCAGTGAGAGTGAGTCCTGCCAGGCCGCCTCGTACTGCCCCTCGGAGACCACCTGGGCGAGAAGGGGGAAAGAACGTGAAGCAGTGCCCTTACACCAGGTGGCAAGACGCAGGGGGATAAAAAGCTTACAAGAGATACAAGAAATCAACACTTAGGCCTAGGAGTTAAATTTTCACAACAACCACGTGTAATACCTAGTCTCGTAACTTTTAGCTGCCTAACTTATGCTTAAGGTCACCAGCATAAATTTCTTATTTCTCTAAATCCAGATTGTCCCCAGAGCACTTCTGGACAAACCTCACCCCTACTGAAGTTATCAAAGTTGCAACCGAATCAGCCATTGCTATTAGTCATGTAGCCAACCTCACTAGTGCCGTCGATGAGTTTAAGGCTGTAGACAAGGTGATGCCCTGTAACAGCCTTGACTCCAGACAGGCCCTCCAGATGCGGAGTCTGAAGGCTCCAGAAACAGCAGTGATAAGATGGCTGCACTCAGGCCTCGGGTTAGGTGCTCCCCACCCAGTACTCCCTATTCCTGCACTGGCGTGTCGGAGGTACACAACCCGTACTAGCTGAAAAGTTCAAGAATTTGAACTGCTCTCAGCAATTTTCTATGTGGAAAAAGATGAGCAATGGGCATTTCACTTAAAATGAACAAAATACTTTTGCTTTCAAATAGTCCTCAAGCCTAATAAGAGGAAGCTACAAATTTCTCAGAATAGAAAATGCCCCAACATTTCACATGGTAAAGAGAAACCAAATTAAGAAACTCCACAGGAATGGGGATGTCCAAAGGAGCTTCTGAAAAAGTGATATCCTGGTGCAGTTCCTCCAACAAGCAGGATCACACGCTTCCCCGGCCTACACTGCACCTGCAAGGTGTGTGTCCTGAGGTGTGTCAGGAAGGCAAAGCTCGAGTGGGCCCGTGGGATGGTGGTTACCTCAGCAGAGGCCTCTGCGCTCCGTGCTGGTCAGTTCTGTGAAACCGGGCGATGCCGCTGAGTGAACACCTCAGAACTGACCACTTCTGCAACGAGTGACCTAGCACATGGCTTCCACTGATAGAGCGCGGGCCACTCCCTCCAGGAATCTCTCCAGTCTGAAGACTGCTGATAGCTGAGCTGCCTAGGTTCCCCTGACGTGTCCACCGCGAGTGCCACACTTATCTCTCGCAAGCAGACCCAAACAAGCTGCAGACATCATCTCTAACAGCTGTCCACTGTGTGGCAGACGGTGTAAACAGAAAAACCACTAATCAAAGCAAGTGGGAGGCAGCTCCTTAAAGGCTACACTGTGTCTCTGACAAGGCAATAAAAAGCTGAATAATAAACCAAATTCCTAAAATGGAAATATACACCATTTATTAATATAAACGCAACTATAAACCAAATTCCTAAAATGGAAAACAGTTCCAAGGTACAGGAGGAAAAATGCTAAGGATTACCTGCGACAACGTTACTATGCTCCATTATGAGACCTAAACTTTAATGAGGCAGTTAACAGATACGTAATCCTCTCAACTCCATCTGAACCAACAGGAAACAAAGGCCAGGGGCCTACCGGTGTGTGGGAGGAAGATGGCAGAAGGCAGGCGGCTGGAAGCCCATTCAGTTCACAGATGCTGCCGCAGCCCAGCCTGGCACTTGCGCCCAGCCCACCAGGCTCCAGTCCTCAGGGCGGCAGTCAGCCCGCTGGTCTGAAGACCCACAAGCCACTGCTTAGCACATGGCTTCTACCTGGCCCTCGAGGAAGACTGCTCTCACTGAAACGGCCCTTCAAAGAGTGGTGCAAAAACATTTTTGAAAACCACACACAGATTTTTCACAACTTGCATTTCCTATGAACTCCATGAAGATTCCTCCTATGCATGGATCTCAAAAAACAAAATTATTTTTTTTTTGCTCCCAAATAAACCTACCTTTAATTCTATTTCCCACACTTTTGTAGTACTCTCATACTTCTTGGCTATGAAATAAGCTTCTCTGGGAATTTCTTTTAATTTTCTTTTAAGCATAACAATGGGCTCTAAAAGGCTTTAATCTTTGTGACACCAGTGGCATATTCTATGTCCTTTATAAATTAATACAATGTCTCAGGAAGCCTTCTATTTTCAGACCAAATAAAAAACTTAGTTTAAATCACTGAAATTCCTTCTTTCAAGCTCAGAGAAAAGTTACTGCCTAAAGACAGAACACAGGTGGTCTTCACTCGCATTGCTACTCCTGACTCAAGGACAGTCTTTCATCACAAACCAGCCACATTTTATCCTTTCCCACTAATTCCAGGGTTTCCCAACTTGTCCGCTGGTTACAGGTTTAAGGGCCTTGTCTTAGGCTTTCTATAGTCAAACAACTTTTGCCCAGCCAGGCGCAGCACAGGAAATTAATCAGCAAATCTAGTGCTCTGAACACGGAGCAACCACACAGGCCCAACGGTCACTCTCTGCAAAGCAAACAAGCCTGGCTGTGTGAGCAGCTTTCGCTCCTTTCCTGCATTCTTCCACAACCCTGCAGTCTTTGTTAAAAGGGACAGAGACTGAGTGCATTAGGCTTTAAGGGTCAAAGCCTATTTGCAGGTACTTAGGTAATCATCTTAACTTTACCTATTAAAAAACGTCAAACACATTCTTAGCCTTCAGACAGTGTGACTGGGCAGGCAGCTGCCAGCAGGAGTTGGTGCCCCGATTCAGGGGGACAGACTTATCTACCTACGAATGCCGTTCTTGAAGGGACCACTGAACTGTTCCACATTGTTTAAATGCTTCTTCAAATTGTGGTATGATGCATGTGACACAAAACTTACCCCCCTAACCATTTTCACATGTTCGGTTCAGAGGCAGTAGGTACATCTGCACTGCTCTGCTACTGTGACCAGCATTCACCTCCAGACAAGTCTGTCCATCCTGCAAAACTGAGTCGCTGTGTGTCCATTAAACAGCTCTTGGCCAACACCATTCTATTCTGCACTGCATGATTCTGGCTATTCTAAGTACCGCATAAAAGCAGAATCACGCCATGCTTGTCCTTTTGTGACTGGCTCATTTCATGCCACGCGAAGGCCCCAAGGTCCACCTGTGCAGTAGCAGGTGTCGGAACTTCCTTCCTGAGGCCGAAAAATATCCTAGTCTGAGGTGAACACTGTGTTTTGCGTAACCACTCATCCATCAATGGACACTGGAGCTGACGCCAGCTTCTGGCTAATGGGAATGATGCTGCTATCAACATGTCGCATCTTCCAAAGCAAATTTTCACATCCCCAAAGGAATCTCTTGATAACTTCGTTTTTCCCACCACTGGCATCAACACTTTTCCAGTAACTAAGAATCCATGTGACATATACAATAGGTAAAGGGAAAGAATGCCCCAACATATAAAAGACATCAGTCAGC